CGTGAACTTGTCTTTACATTCGCACCAACATCCACCTCGTAGTAGTTTAATCAGTGTAGGCAGAGTTGTCTGATAACCGAAGTTAATCTGAGCAGCTTGACCTTGCTCTTAGGCAGGCGGTTTCAGTGAATTGATTAATGTTCAGCTCCTGGGCATTTTTTCGTGTTACATAAAGCGTTTTATTTGTATTTTGTTTATAAAAATATGTTTTGTGTTGGTTAAAGGTCATCCATATCAATTAAGTGTGAAAAATGTCATATCTTGCCTGGTACGTTGGTGAACTGAGGACGGCAACGTCTCTGTCAGTTATTACAGATCTGCTGTGATAAACGGTTTATTTATCCTGTTAATAAAAAAAGGTTTATTTTCCCTTCTAATGAGTTGAACGAGGTATGATGAGCAGGTGAGTTATTGTCATATTTGTGTATGAATCTGTGTTTTTTGATATAGCCCACACGTTAGTAATTTAGTAACTTAGTTGAAAATTAGTGATGTGCAAAAAAATACTTTATTGATTGACAGTATTTACCCTCATTTATACCTAAGGACATTCTTGGCTTTTGCAATTTTGATTTTATTGCCATTTGAGTGTGTTTATGCAATGGGCATGATTTTTGGTGAATCTTTTTTTCTAAATTTTTTAAAAGTTTTGAATTTTTATAGTGTGGAAAATACACGCTGTAAACGCCATTACTACAACTACCCCTGAGGACAAAAATGTCCTCATTGAAACTCATTATAACATTAAAAATATTTAGCTTAAGTTACCACACAAAAATATTTTTTACAGTATCACCCTTCTGTCTGTTAAAAAAAAGGATGGAATATGGGGATTTCACTCCTTCCCAGCAGATGGCACTGCTACCTTTGTGGCATGTGGTTGAATCAGAGTGATGGGAGAACCAGAGACCGGCTGTTCCCGGAAATGCTGGCGCCTACAAGCGCTCCTCCGCCGGGTCGACATGGCGGGCGGCTTGTCGAGTCCACTGCTAAGCTTAGGCGGTTCTCTGTGGCTCCGTGTGGAACGTGGACGTACCGCCTGTAACGTCTGCAGAGCTGCCCGCCTAGACGAACGAGCGTGCGCGGCGTTCTAATGGGCTGGAGCCCGGGTGCACGGCGGAGCTCCGGCTGAAAAAAATATCCTGCTTCGTGTTTATTTTTCCTCCAGTCTGTCTGTCCATCGCTGACTTTCCAACAATGTAGACTCCGACCAGACAAATGGCAAATAGTGTCAACTCTCACCAAACAGCAGCGGAACCAGAAAACCTCGCGGACAAGTATCAGCTGCTCTGCCGCGGTTATAGGACTGTAGCCCCGGGTGCACGGCGGAGCTCCGGCTGAAATGATATCTTGCTTCTGGCATATTTCTCCTGCAGTCTATCTCTCCCTCGCATATTCTTCATACAATATACCTGCCTGGAGGGAAGGGTAACGTTAACCCTGCTCTTTAGCGGTAGCAACCGCGGACAGCTAACGTTAGGCTGAAGGCAACCTCTCTCGCCATAAACGTTACGGTTCACTCACGGCGGGTTGCGAGCATCTGTTCGGCCCAGCGTTCGGCTGGATGATCCACTGTGATTCTGCAGTACGATCCACGCTGACGAAGGAGCTACGAGATCGATCAATTTACACTAGTTATGATAAAAAAGATCGCTCCGAAGACACTGTGTTTACTTCCATACGCCTTGAAACGGTGGAGCAGGGGTCTCTGGGTAATGTAGTGCCCTTCTATTGAAATAACCAGGGTGATATAGGACAGAGGACTACACGGTTAAACATCCATGGGGCTTGTGGGTAATGTAGTGCCCTTCTATTGAAATAACATGGGTGATATAGGACTGAGGCCTACATTACCCAAAGTCCACCGTTTCAAGGCGTATTGAAGTGAACACAGTGTCTTCGGAGCGATCTTTTTATCATAACTAGTGTAAATTGATCGATCTCATGGAAGAAGCGAGAAATAATTTTTGTCGGAGCTCCGCTGTGACACTACGGTCCATGTGGACCCGGCGGAGGAGCTCTTGTAGGCGGCCAGCATTTCCGTGAACAGCCGTTCTCTGGTTCTCCCATCACTCTGATTCAACCACATGCCACACAAAGGTAAGCAGTGCCATCTGCTGGGCGAAACTGATAATCCTAACTTACATCTTTATTTAACAGACAGAAGGGGTGAAACACTTTCAAAAATGATTTTGTGTGGTAATTTAAGCTAAATATTTGAAATATTTTATAATGGATTTAAATGAGGACAAATTTGTCTTGGGTTGGCTTCGTAACAGCTATTAAAGGGATACATGAGGGTTAAATAAATTCCGGCAAGACCCAACGCAGCAAGTTTCCTGTGTTGATTAATTTCTCCTGTTTTACAGGTTTTATTATCTGTCCACTTGCCCTGTAACATGTATTATTCCCTTTTCTTTGATGTGTCACGTTGCTACTTACAGCACACCAAATCTAATGTCGTCTAATTTACTCTAACTGTATTACAATAACGGTCCTCAGAAATAAGAAGCATTTGCACGTTCCTTAAATGTCTGGGGGCCAAATCCAAAACCTTTTATTGTCTGATCATTGTTTCTATAAGAAGTGTTGCATACAGGTTACTGAAGAGCAGATTATAAATGAGACAAAACTATTTTGCTTTTTGTAACTTGATTAATCATTTCAGCTGCACTTATTTAAACCGGTGGGAGTCAGTTTATTTCAGAAGCTCTTGGTTGATGTATTTATAGAAAATGGGGGGGGTTTTTGCTTTTTGTGGATGATGGGGCAATTTGGAAGAGGGGAAGACATTTAGACTTCATTGTGTGTGATCAGATAAATATACATGGGCCTATATATGTTATTTATTTTAAAATAATATCTAAGTTGATAAGACAGAGACAGTGTTCCTCACAAGGAAATTCATTGGTAGTGAGGTAAAAACTAAAATTATGAAACACTACATTCAGAAAGTAGTGGATAAATGTAAAATACTACATACAGTGAGGTGTTTAGGTGGAAGTGAAGACCATATACAGTGGACTAATGAGACCAATATTAGATCTGTGGATCTGCAGCAAGCACATCTCTCTTAAAGTTCGAGAACATTCAAAATCAGGCTTTGATATTATGCACAGGTGCATTTAGAACAACTCGTTGTTGGGAAAAGGAGAGGGGGGAGACAAAAAACAACAGAACTTACAAACAGTACCATTACCAGCAAAAACACTTTGGATACTCCCTGACACCACAAAATTATTAGAAAGAAGAACAAGGACAGGGAGTTTATTTGAATTCACATACCATACCATACATATATTGAAAGTTACACAGTTAAGTCCAGATCTACACAGAAGCATCAAAGAGATTGTAGTTAATAAAATACGAGTAGCACGTATTGTTGCAGAGTTTCATCTCATAATAGGGAAAATGATCTGTGAGGAAGTGTACATGCAATTTTGTTAGCAGTGCAGCGGTCCTAAGACTTTTTCACATGAAGATTTTGTCCTAGGGATTTTTGCATTTAGACGCAGAATGTAAACCATGCAAAATGGTCATACATTCGGTTACTGATGGATGGAAACCTTTTATTAACGGTTA